CAGAGATACCCAACCAGGCAAGAGCACCATCTGACCCTGCGCGAGACATGTTTCCACCCATCACTGAGGCCAGGAGATTCGGCAGATGACCAGCACTTCCAAGGTCATGAGCCACCCCTATAGCTAAGGTGGCAGAAGACAGACTGGCCTGGAGTGTTCAAGGCGGTCCTTCCACGACTGACTGTTGGTGCTGGTCACTGTCTGGGGGCTCAGCTGTGCTCAGGACAAGAAGGCCTTCCTGAAGTCTCTCCATGTGACTTACACTTCATCCAGCGTGGCCAGAGGGGCCCAACAGGGAGAATCCCAAGAGAGCAAAGTTTGCAAAAGAGCCAAGTGGCAGCCGCCAGCCTTCTGGGGACCTCTCCTCAGCATCACACAGTGTCGTGCCCACCACATTCCTGTTGCTTCCCCAGGGCCATCCCAGATTTAGTGAGGGAGGAGACTGTGGAGACCAGGAGGGAGCGTCCCATGGAGACTTGTCACCACATGGACCGTCTCCATCTGCAGCCATGCTTCTAGAACAGGTGGCTTCTAAGGCCACCAAAGCAGCAGAAGAAAGGGCCCGAGGGCCCTACAGGACACTCCTACAGCTCAGATCTGTGATTCATGTCACTTCTGATCCCATGCTGTTGGCTATGTGGAGGCACGGAGGCTCCACAGCCTCCGTGTGGCACGTGTAGGGGAAAAGCACCCAGAGATGCACCGGGCGGTCTCTGCTGTAGGGAGCAAGTGAGGCAAGTCGAAAGGGGTCTGAAACCAACCTGGAGGTGGCAGTGGTATTGAAGAGTGTCTTGGATGATTCAGAAAAGTTCAAGATGATTAAAGGGGGGGTGGGAACACATCCTGTGTGGCTGCTGCCATGTTCAGCTTTAACAAGCTTCAGGTTGGGCACCATGGCATGGTCTTTCACGCCACAGACCGGACGCCCACTATGGATCGCCAGTTATAACAGTATTTCCGTGACACTTGGCCACTAGCTGCTGCCCTGAGCCTATGCCACCTTCGACACCCTGACCTCCCTCCTGGGGCTCTTATTACTGGGGCCTATAGACTGTGAGAGACCTCGGTGATTATCTGTTCCAGGGAATTTCAACTCCAGGCATCTGGGATCTAGAATAATTCTACCATGATAGCAGGGTCCACCTCTTCTCCATCTCACACCTCCATCTGGCTACTATGCTATAGTCCTCCTGACCCTTTTACTTTCCTTCAAATGAGCTCACTCTGCCCCAGGGCCTTTGCACCAGTGTGTCTTCCTCTTCTCGAATGACTTTCATGACTTCTCATCATTCTGACTGCCAAGAAGTCTTCTTGACCACTCCCTTCAGTCCAGCTCCTCCCTGTTTCATTATTCTGCTCGGTTTTCTTCATAATGCTTAGCTGTAAATGAAACTATCTAATCTGAAATTATTTGTTATTTTTACTCTTCTCTTTTGGTGCTGGGGATGGAACTCAGGGCCTCATGCATGCTAAGCAAATCCCTCACCACTGAGCTACACCCCAGTCTGAAATTGCTTATTCTTTGTCTCCTTCTAGAATACAAGCTCCAGGAAGAAAAGAGGTACATCTTTGATTCTTCTCATATCCCTGTGGCCTGGAGCAGGGTCTGCAAGTTTTGCTCAGCAATGAGCATGAACAGGTATTTTTGTGCTGATTGGAGAGTGACGGCTCTTCAGCCCTTCTCAACTTTACCAGCTCCTGCTGGGAGATTTCTGCCATCATCTTACAAACCTCCCCTGTCTATGACATGTACAACCCAGTCAGTGCTTGTTGAATGAATGAGTAGACGGATGGAATTCCAGGGCTTGGGAGTATCTGAAAACAAATGGACAATTGTGAGCTGAGCACACATGTGGCTTTCTGGGTTGACTGGCTCATCTATTCACGGATTTCACAGTGTTGGGCATAGGTCTCCCTTTTCTCTCATCTACCAGCTGGGATTTAGTAGGCACCCACTCATTGTGTCGGCTTGGGGAATTTGCAAGCTAGTGAGACGTGGTTGGTTCTTCAATTCAAGAACTTGGAAACCTATGAGTGAGCGATGCCATGCCTTGTTTACGATTACTGCAATACAAAGCAGCCCACGGTTCTGCAGGAGCCCAGGACACCTGCCAGTTCAGAAGAGTTAGGAAGGCTTCTTGGAGAAGAGACTGGGTTAGATCAAAAAGGAAGGAAAGCTCTAACCTTAAAAAAAATTTTTTTTGCAGCACTAGAATTTGAACTCAAGGCCTCACACTTGCTAGGCAGGCACCTTACCACTTGAGCTGCTCTGCCATCCCTTTTTTGTGTTGGGGATGTTTGAGATAGGGTCTTGCAAACTATTTGCCCTGGTTGGCCTTGAACTGCTATTCTCTTGTTCTCTCTGCCTCCTGAGTAGCTAGGATTACAGGTGAGCCCACCTCTAACATTCTTAAGTGCTGTTTACAGCTCACAGAGCCATGATCAACTTGGCTCATCTGAAGCACGGTTGTGTGCCAAAAGTCTCTCTATGCTGGTGTGAAGATGAAAACAGTCTCTTCCTCCTGGGACCTTTTTCCTTCCTCTTCCAACTTCCCAGGCTCAATAACATAACCACTCTCCATCACAAGTGCCAAACAGAATCCTCTGTGCAGAGCAGCCCAGGGCCTGAAACTGCTCAGTACAGTGAGAGGAAAAGGGGAGGCTTGGGACCTCATGCATTATTTTGGAATCATCCCACATGCCTTCTCAACTACTATTATTAATCCATTCTCCAGATGAGAAAATTGAGTCCAAGAAATCAAGTAATCTGCTTCAGAGCTAGTAGATGCCTGTTCCTGCCTGCCATATCTTCCTTCTCTCTGTCTTCTCCTTTGCCTGTGATTTCAAGGCAAAGAGAAATGGCCCCAGGCAAGCCTTTTACAGCATCTCAGGTGATCTCTCTCTGCTGTACACTTCCATAAGACTGTGAGCTTTTCTTCATAGCACCTGTCATGACTGTGTATTTCCTTGGATGATTTTAGGTTTACAGTTTATCTTTAACAGTAGATTGCAATCCTGTTAGCTCTTAGAGGGTAAGATACCCATGTTGCCTACTGTAGTCCCTGAGTGAGCTAGGACTGGAGACATCACAGGTGCTCAATAAATATTTGCTGAATATAATGGCTGAGGATGTAGCTCAGTGGTAGAGTATTTGCCAAGCATGTTCAAGTACCTGGGTTCAACCCTCAGCACTGCCAAAAATAAAGATTTGCCGGCAAGGAATAGCTGGACTTCAGACCCCAGTCTGGAAAATCCAAGTTCTTTTGTTACACCATGAGCTGGTGATCTCCCAAAAGACAGGCTGGATGTGGATCTTTCCAGGTTCAGGAGCTCCTTCTTGACCCATTTGGTGAACTGCAATGAGTGTTCTTTCTTGGTGGTGGCGGTAGTGCTGTCTTGGATGCAGGCTGTGTGTGATGCAGCGGTAAGAGAAGCAGCAGGAGCCATGGGCAAGGACAAGTTGATGAAAAGAACGTGCACGCTGGGCTGAGGATCTGGGCTGGCAGGGAGGTGGCCATGGGATGGACCTGGTCACAGCTGCACTGCAGAAAGAGCACTCTGCCTGCGGTTGAGTGAAGGGTTCCCAGAGGGCCAGAGCAGAACCTGGAGGCTAGGATGGCATGACCATAACACAGGTCACAGGTCACAGAAGACACGGTCCTGAATGAGACATCAGCGGCAGAGAGGAGGGTCCAGCCCTAGAAGAGGGAAATGTGGCTAGTGTTGGGCTCAGGTGTGTGGACAGAGGGTCTTGCCATATCCAGCAGCAGAAAGTGCTGAAAGGGGGAAGAGGGTTTAAGGCAGAGAAGTTGAAACCCTTGCAGGTGTTGGTCCAGGGTGCAGGGGGGTCTGAACGGAGAGGTCTCACACCCAGCTGTGGAGCTGCTGCTGCCTCACCCATTTTTTCTGGCAGTTGTAGCTGAGCTCAGTGCTAGCAGGAATACAGGAGCAGTTCACAGAAGAGATTGGGAGGGGTGGCTAAAACGCTCAGGGACAGCCTCTCTCTGCTCTTTTCCCACCCTTCTTTTTTTCAGTGTGGGCTTTGGGCCATCTATCTAAGCCTCAGTTTCCCCTCTCTTCTCTCCTTCCCTCCCCTCTCTCAGCACCCTTCAAGCAGGAGGCCACCTAACTCTCTGGGGATTCCCTTCCTCCTGCTTGTCTTCTGAGTTCATCCTAAATTATCCCCAAAGGAAAAAAAAATCGCTCAAAGATTAAGGGTGGTGGGGACAGGACCGCCTCTCAAGGGGTCAGGTGACCACGGGAGCAGGCTGTTCCAAGAGACATTGTCTCACACGCACCTTCTCCTGGATGGATTTGCTGAATCCACTAGCACCTAGACAAGTAGAAATACTTATCTCACAAGAAACCGCAAAACCATGGCCTGTGAGGTTGGGGTTGGGTACGGAGCTCAAGTTATAAGGCCAGGATTGAAGTCCCGATTGGGGCTTAGATGTGTGAGCCATCCAAGGCTGCTTTTTTGTTTGTTTGTTTAAAAAACCCTACATGGTGCATTCCCAGTCTAAAAGCCAGTACTTCCCCATTCCTCTCCCCACCTCTTCGTTTCCAGGGTTAGGGTCACAGGCTGGGCCAGGCTAGGCCCCTTCTTCTTCCTAGGGTGCGTTTGCCGTGGCTCGGGGCAAGGGTCTGGCCCTGGGAAGCCTCTAGGACCTGCGTGTTGGTGCCTAGACTCTGACGCGGAGAATTCGGGCGCCAGGGCCCAGGTGGAGCGGGGGCGCGGGAGAGAGGAGCGCGGCGGAGAGGGCGGGAGCGCGGGACCCGGAGCAGCGGGGACGGTGGCAGCGCTCGCCTGGCGCGGGTTGCTCTGGGCCCCCGCCCCCTCGGCGGCGGCTCGCTCTTCCTCTCTCCGACGCCGAACCAGACACACGCTGCGGCCACCGCCGCCTCTGCTGCCGCCCGGCGCGCTGCTGGTCTAGGGCGCAGTCCCGGCCGCCCGCGGGCACTAGCCGCTTCCTGGCCCGGCTCAGGACAGCCACCGCTCCGGGGCTCGGAGCAGCGCACGGTGAGCGTCCCTCGGGGCTCGGGGTCTTTTCGCTGTGGGGCTCTGCGCACCCCCTGGGGTGCCCGATGGGGCCGCCTGGGGGGCGCAGGGCTGAAGTTGAGACTGCGCGCGGCGCGCGGGTACAGCCAAGCCAGGCATGCTGCCGCCGGGGCGCAATGGCACTTCGTACTCGGTGCGCTCCGGGACTCAGGAGCAGCTGGCACAGGGGGGTGCCACGCGGGGTTCGGCGGGGACAGCGACGCTGGGGCCCGCGCAGGTGGTCACCGCCAGCCTCCTGACAGTACTCATCGTCTGGACCCTTCTTGGCAACGTGCTGGTGTGCGTGGCCATCGTGCACAGTCGCCACCTGCGCGCCAAGATGACCAACATCTTCATCGTGTCTCTGGCCGTATCCGACCTTTTCGTGGCGCTGCTGGTCATGCCTTGGAAGGCGGTCGCCGAGGTGGCCGGTTACTGGCCCTTTGGGGCGTTCTGTGACGTGTGGGTGGCCTTCGACATTATGTGCTCTACCGCCTCCATTCTGAACCTATGCATCATCAGCCTGGACCGCTACTGGGCCATCTCCAGGCCCTTCCGCTACGAGCGCAAGATGACCCAGCGTGTGGCCTTGGTCATGGTGGGCTTGGCCTGGACCTTGTCCATCCTCATCTCCTTCATTCCGGTCCAGCTCCATTGGCACAGGGACAAGGCGGGCTCCTGGGGCGGGGTGGACTTTCCATCCAACCAAGCCAATGGGACTTCCTGGGAGGAACCCGGGGAGCCTGAGGTGAGGGCAGAGAATTGTGACTCCAGCCTGAACCGAACTTACGCCATCTCCTCCTCGCTCATCAGTTTCTACATCCCGGTGGCCGTCATGATCGTGACCTACACGCGCATCTACCGCATCGCGCAGGCGCAGATCCGCAGGATCGCCTCGCTGGAGAGGGCCGCGGAGCACGCGCAGAGCTGCCGGAGCCGCGCGGCCTGCGAGCCCAACACCAGCTTGCGAGTTTCCATCAAGAAAGAGACCAAGGTCTTCAAGACCCTGTCGGTGATTATGGGGGTCTTCGTGTGCTGCTGGCTGCCCTTCTTCATCCTTAACTGCATGGTTCCCTTCTGCAGCGGTGGAGATGCAGAGGGCCCCAGGGCCGGCTTCCCCTGCATCAGCGAGACCACCTTCGACGTCTTCGTGTGGTTCGGCTGGGCCAACTCCTCGCTCAATCCCATCATCTACGCTTTCAACGCCGACTTCCGGAAGGTGTTCGCCCAGCTGCTGGGCTGCAGCCACCTCTGCTCCCGCACCCAGGTGGAGACCGTGAACATCTGCAACGAAGTCATCTCTTACAACCAAGACACCGCCTTCCACAGAGAGATCGCAGCTGCCTGTGTCCACGTGATCCCCAACGCCGTGGAACCTGGCGACGGGGAGGTGGACAATGAGGAGGAGGAGGAGGGCTCTTTCGATCGTATGCCCCACATCTCTCAGCAGTCCCCACATGTTGACCCCGCAGCTGAGTCTGTCTGGGAACTGGACTGTGAAGGGGAGATTTCATTAGGCAAAATCATACCTCTTACCCCAAATGGATCCCACTAAACTGCGTAAGAAACACCCTCGTGGGTGTGTGTAGTGCGCCTGACATTTACACGCTCACACACAAATATACACATTTCCAGCCTGCTCAGTTCCTCCCGTGTTTCTGAGTCACCGTGTAGTAACCCAGGTGCTTAGAAACCTCACCTATCGATTCTTACTTAGCTTAACGAGTTGGCAGAGGAAGTTGCAATAAATAGTCAAATATAACCCAGCCCAGTGGAGACCGCCAAGTGTTCCCATTAGAGAGTGGAACCTGGTCCTTTAAGAAATCCTCTCCCTTCCCTCTGAAAGCCTTGGCATGTTCAGTGACTTATTTGTGTTTGGGCTGGTTTTTAAATGACACGTTCAGTGCCTAGGTGGTGATGATGGTGGCGATGGTGGGGTGGGGGCTGGCCTCCCTGTCTCCGCAGTTGCTGCTGTCTGTGCAGGGTCTGTCTTTGCTGTAGAGGAAGAACCCTTCCAGATTTATTCTGTGTCTAAAAAACACAATTTACGCGTGCTGTGGGGTGCTCATCTTTGCTTTGGCAGGTTGCTTTTCAGGATCACTGCTGAGAAACCATGAGCTCTTCTTTTAAAAAGCAGCAAGGATGTTTGCTGGGTGGAGATGCACACACGTTTTTTTAACAGTTTGACTTTAAAGGAACACACAGGACAAAGGACCTTGAAGAGATTCTGATATTTAAGATTTCTTTTTCTAAGATGTACACATCTAGAGTGTGTATTGAAAGCTGGTTTCATTGCCTCAGGATCAGACATGAACTTCTCAAGGCTGGAACGGAATATTTTTTCTCCCTTGGAAACTTCTTTAGAAAACTATGTGAGACAGTGCTCTTGATTCCTGCACAGATGCTAACAGTTTATTGTAAAGATTGTTTGGAATAACCGCTCGGTCTTTCTCCATCTTCAGTGTAGAGTGTGTTTCAGAGTGACATTGCTGTGCTAAATCATGTTTCCTAAGGGCTTTGCAACGTGAGTCAGTGTGCTTTAAAAAGAAATCCCACTTTGCAACAGGCGTTTTTATTTGCAGACAATAGCAAAAAGGAGAATGTATTTTAGCTGAAATATACAAAGGCAGAGTAACATTTGAATGAACTTGAAATTGGGAAATCTATAGGTTGAGATGCTCAACCAAAAAGCCAAACTAACACCGTCTACTTGTTTTTCCTCTGCAATGTGCAGAGTGAAGTGTATTTGATATCAACACGATTTCGGGTAAGGACTTATTACTGTTAGACCTAAATGTAAAACTTAATGAAAGCAGATGAAACATGAATATGCAATTTCTCACGGGTAGTCGCTGCCTGGGTGACGTCTTATCAAGGGCAGCTCAATCAATTTTGGTCTTCTTAAGGATAATTTCATTGTCAGTCTTCTGAACAACCATGTCTTGTTCAGTGGAAAATGTGTAGTGTCTGGCACGTAGCACTTAATAAATATTTATTGAGTGGTGATTTCTGGAGGCTGGAAGCAGATCTGATTTGGTATATTAATTTTAATATATGATTTCATCACACTGATACTGAAATTTGAGGTCGGTTTTCTTTTTTTCCCTCTGGCAGTATTGGGGTTTGAACTCTGGGCTGCACACTTGCTGGGCAGGTGCTCTACCACTTGAGCCACTCCCCCAACTCTTTTAACTTTAGTTAATTTTGAGATAGGGTCTCTCAATTTTTGCCCAGACTGGCCTTGGACCCCAATCCGCCTACCTACCCCTCTTGTAACTGGGATTGCAAACATGTACCACCACACCTGCTTTGTTATTTGAAATTGGATCTTGCTAACTTTTGTTGCCCAGGCTGGGCTTGAACTGTGATCCTTTTATCTGTAACTCCCAAGTAGCTGGGATTACTGGTGTGAGGTACAGCACCCAGGTTGGGTTCAGATTTTGACTTCTTATAAACTAACAGCTAGGCAGTCTATTAGGGCCACATCGGGGGCAGTGAAAATTATACTGCTGAATGTTTTGGGAGATGGCTGTGTGATCTTGAGTGAGCCTATTAACCTCTCTGGGCCTTACTTTCTGTCTACGCTTAGAAATCAAGGGACTTGTACTAGATCACTGTCTACCATATTGTGCTCTGTGATGCAAACGTTAACGGACAGACTCTATGGTGAAATAAATTCAGCAAACCAGGCTCAATGCCTGTTTTCTCTACAGGGCTTCCTACAGCTATTTCTCAGCATTATGAATTTCCAAATTGGGAGCGGGGGTGGGGAGGGTGGGGGTGGGGTAGGGGTGGGGGGGGATTCTGCATTGTTTCTCAATGACTTTGACCTCGTAAATTCATGTTTGATTGAATTCCTATGTCTGTTCTCTACAGGGAGCACAGTTTGAGAAACTCGAATGTAACTTATCTGGAAGACTTTAAAATCCAGCTATTCTTTTCTGAAGAACAGGTTGTTATAAGCAAAACCTTTCAGAGCAAATGCTGTCCTAGCCTCAGTTTAAATAAGTTCTGTGTTATGGAAAATGTTTTATTTGAGGACTTTGGAATTCCCTTCTGTAAATATCACCCATCAAGTGTTATAATTATTTACATATCCTATGTGCTCGCCACCATCCTAGATGCTGGGAGTGCAGTCATCCAGCACATTCTCTGTGGTGTCATGCTTTAGTGGTAGAGACACAAGCCAGTCAACGAGGCTGTTGCCTCCTGTATTGTGTTGGTCTCCTGACCAGGCAGTGACAACGGCCGTGATGCACCAGCGGCAGAGTGGAGAAGCAGCCATTGTGTTTAGGTGCTTGGGAGGCCTCTCCGCAGAGTCATGATGAAGAAAGACCGGATGAAGTGCAGGTTGGGGCAATGGTAAAATCTAGGAGGAAGAGTGGTCCAGGCAGAGGGAAGGCCAGGTGCAAAGCCCAGGAGATGGGTTGTGCTTTGCACACCTGGAGAAGAACATGGTGGTTAGTGTGGCGGGGAGGTAAGAGAGGTAAGAGAGGTAAGCATGCAGGGTCAATGTGAACGGCAGCAGTGCTAACAGCGGAGCCCTGTAGCCCCTCATCCGTGCAGGAGCTGACACACGCACTAATTCCTTTGACCCTCACAGCCCTGAGATGCAGGCGTTTTTATTACTTCCACTTTGCAGGTATGGAAATGAAGGCACTGGTAGCTACGTAACTCGCTCAAGGTCACATAGCTTATAAGCTGGCAGAGCTAGACTTGAACCAGGCAGCCTAGCCCTGGACTCTTTAATCTTAACTGTCCTTCAGTGATGAGAGGGGTTGCCTGGCATTTCCAATCAGCAAGTGTAGGAATACACAGCTCAGAACACTCGCCTCTGTGCCCACTTGTTCATTAACTAGTTCATTCATTCGTTCCTCTATCCATGTTGGCAAATCTTCACTGTGCACCTGCTGCAAGCTGCAAGGGAAGGGAGAATAGGGTAGTGGAAAGAATAGCCTGTGGATTACACCTTTACGTGGGTCAGCTATGTGCTGGATTCTTCATATTAACCTCAGGTGCTACTATACTCCCATTTCACAGAGGAGGACACTGAGGTGTTAAGTTGCTGGTCTGAGGTTCTATGATAAACGGTGGAGTCAGGGTTCACATCCAGGACAGAGGTTCTCAGCCAGGGTCATTTTGCTCCCCCAGCCCTGATGACACTTGGTCATCCTGTGAGAAGAGTCCGGGGTGCTGCAAAGCATCCCCCGGTGCACACGACAGTCCCCACAGTACGGCAGCATCTGTCTCAAGTGCCCGGAGGGTAGGGACTCTGCTCCAGGCTGAGGGGATCCAGGTCCCAGCTGCCTCTCACAACCTGCCGTCCTTGGCTTTGGGGCTACCAGGCGAGTTCGAATTTGAGCGGCCCCACTTCTATTTGTCTGAATTTGGGCACCTCTCTGAATTTTGGTCTTTATCTGAGCAAGGGGTATATAAACACCTCAGGGTGCATACAGCTCAGAGGCTACTTCTGTGTCGTTATTCTTCCTCTTCTTTTAGAGAACTCAGAGTTTGATATATTTATGAGGATGTGCAGGTTCTGTGGCAGAACCACATCGTCCTAGAAGTTAAGGACCATGAGAGCTGATTTGCTGTCTGCCCTGCTAACTCCTGTCTGCTGTTACTAGAACAGCATCTGGCACAGAGCAGGTGCTCAGTAAATATTAATCCTCTCTGCCTGGGTGTGTGTATCCTACCTGTAGTCACCAGTGGTCTTAGGTGCTGTACGCTGTGAGCAACTCAGTGATTAGCACAACGAGAACCATCAGAAGGTGCTGACCTCATACCTGGGCTGGGTCTGATGAGCTCTGAAGCGTTCAAGTTCCCCAGGAAGGAAGTGGTGTCATCCGTAGCACCCCTGAATGAATGCTATTTTTTTTACAAGGAACAAAATGCCTCCATAGCGTCCCCAGACCCTCACACACCCATGATGTCACTAGCCTGCCCGTTAGTGAGATGAGAGAGTTGGAGTGGGGAAGGGTCTAGGGACTCCCCTTAGACCACCCATACAAAGACACGAGCCTTGACTGAAGGTGGCTTTCACCCCTGCACCCTCTCCATCTCACCTGCCTGACTCTAGTCCTGGCTCTGTGATGACAGGAATGACCTTTACCTTGCTTTGGGAGACAAGACAGGGAAACAGATACATTTGCTGTCCCTTTGGGTACTGCAGGGGCTCCCCAGGTAGTTTCTACAGCTTGGTGAAATTCAGCTGGTAGCTGAATTTCTTGATGACAACTCAGGGTTCCAAAGCCGATGCCCAGAGATGGGGAAGCAAGAGGACACTGAATCTCTTTGTCTGACTTGGTTTCCTGGACCACACTCACTCAGCAGAGGGGAGTCACCAAGGTCAGACCATGGTCAAGGGGAGGACTGGACTTCACCTCTCAAAGGACTGGCAGAAGAGATGCTTCAAATGTATGCTTTATTAAAGATTATTCTGACATAATTTCAGACTTACGGAAAAGTTGCAAAGAGCATGAAGAATTCATAAATACCATTTTCCCGGGTTCTCAAACATAGCATTTTACTCTATTACTTACTTTATTCCACTCT